CCAGGTGGATCAGGCCATGGAAGGGTCTGGCTGAAGACTCGGTCGTCCAGGAGCAAGAAGCGAATGACTCATGCGTTTGAGTCAAAATGTGATGATAATGTGCAGTTTTGGAGTAGAACCGAGATGCTTTTTGCCTCATGGTTAGTACCTGGGGTGGCAGCAGCTAGAGCTTTAGCTACACTTAGTAAGTTAGGATGTTAGTTAACAAAGCAAATGAATGTGACGACATTAGCATTAAGTGGGTTATTATTAGATACTAATTCTATTAGACATGCTACATTGCAGAATAGAGCAGCCATAGATTTTTGGCTTCTAGCACAAGGCCATAGGTGTGACGATTTTGAAGGTATGTGTTGCATAAATCTGTCAGATCGGTCAGAATCTGTGCATAAAAGCATTCAAATGTTAAAGGAAGGGTTCAAAAAGTTGCAAGTAGACAATGAATGAAATTGGTTGAACAATTTGTTATCTGATTGGGGAATTGGTAGATGGTTAGCTACAATTGTTAAGACAGGATTAATAATATTGATCATGATTTTTGTCATAGCATAATTATTAAGTGTTTATACTCTTGACTGCAAAGGGCCCTGCAGAAGATGATAAACTCAGCATTTTTAATTGAAAAACAAAAAGGGGGAAATGTGGGAAACTTCTTGGAAAACAACGGACATGTACTGAAGGTCAACATGAAGGAGGAAATCATGTGCTGACACTGAAACTACTGCTACTCCCCAAAAGACGCGGAATGTGTATTAATTAAAAGACTGACTTGGCAGAAATAGTAACAAAGTGTAGATAATAAGTTACAGCTGCATTTAACCAATAATAGTTTGTGTGTATAAGTCTAGAAACCAATGAGCACAAGCCGCAGAGCTAGCCCACGTTGTAGTAAAAAGTATATAATGGTTTAAGTATTTTAATAAAGTGGCTTCAGCATTGATCATATTGGTCTGCGTCTGGGTCCGTCAGCAGACTGCCAATCCCTTGCAAGTAGGATGGGGAGGAGAGAAGTATGCTCTACATAATAATGAGTATAGTCCATATATTGAATGTATTCCCTGACCTAATATATTATATGGGATAAATAAATTAATGTACAATTATACATAGAATGTTGGAGGGGGGGAATGTGCTTTATGGGTTCCTGTGGTTGAGACAACGACAGTTTTTCAGGCCTTAGAACCTGAAGAAAAGTCAAGCAGGAATTAATATGACTTATTTTGTGGGTTTTTTTAGCATTGTGTTTTGTTTTAGGGGGGGCTGGCAGTAGCATCTAATCTGTCTCCGTATTATGGAGTGGTTGGTTTGGTACTAGCATCTGTTATGGGATGTGGATGGTGGTTGAGTTTAGGGATTTCTTTTGTATCTTTGGTGTTGTTTATGGTTTATTTAGGTGGGATGTTAGATGGTTAGCTGAGGCTTGAGGGGATTGACATGTTGTGGGATATGGTGTAGGGTTTGTCTTGGTGCTTCTTGTAGGGATGGCTGTTGGGCGTTTTGTTGAGTTTTG